AAATCAATTGGATTTATGTGGTCGTATTAGGATAATGTCTTTTCAAGTTGCATTATCCTTTCTGCCAATAACCTTCATCCTTCACTTCTCTGTACCAGACTGAAAATGTAAGCGCCAGTCATTCAGGAAATCCCACCAAATGTTAGATATTTTTGAACAACCTGTTCAGACATGTTATGACCCACCTATGGAGCAGGTGGGATATGAACTTGGGCTTTCTGCACTATAAAAACTCCCCTACCTAATATTTTTAACCAGCCTGTTCAAACACACGTGACACATCTGGGCAGGTGAGACTTGAACCTGAACTTTCTGGCTCAGAATAAGGACACTAAATGCCATATTTACTTATACATGCAATTGGCTCTTCTCCACCCCCCCCCCAAAAAAAAGGGACCTGGGCTCATACTTAAGTATTTTCACAAAAGGTCCATCTTCTTTGGGGGTTGTTGAGCATTTTCAGTTTGCTTGAATACACTTGATGACATCGATTTTAGACAAATTCAAAAAATTGAAAGGCTTCCATGATCTTAAATATGCATTGTACGTAGTATGCAAGAATGTTTGTTTGATAGTAGAAATGAGGAACACACAAAATGGTGTTAGTGTTTTCTCTATCTTGTCAGTTTATACTGATTTTCCATTTGTTTGCATTTCAGAATATGTTAGTGTACTCAGCAAGAAATTGGTGTGTACGTAGCCATTGTACACTTTCCAATTACATGCCTATTAGAAATTTCAACCCATGTACGGTCCAGGATGACATCTTTTGGAAGTAGTGATTGTGTTCATGTACCACAGTGACTCAGGAGTTAGCACTGTGGCCTCGCAGTGCCAGGGACCCGGGTTCAGTTCCAGCCTCGGGTGACTGTGCAAACTCAAACTCCACACAGACATTCTCCCTGTTGCCTGTGTGGATTTCCTCTGGGTAGTCCGGTTTCCTCCCGCAGTCCAAAGATGTGCTGGTCAGGTGGATTAGTCATGGGAAATGCGGGTTATGGGGATTGGGTAGGTGGGTGAGTGTGGGTGGGATGCTGTTTGGAGAGTCGGTGTGGATTTGTTGGGCCAAATGGCCTCTTTCCACACTGGAGGGATTCTATTCTAAGGATTCTATTCATAACATTGGACTTCCAAATATCATCAAGTAGGGTTTCCTCACTGCAGTTGAACAAAACCTTTAATTATAATGCAAATATGAGCATATTCTAGTTTGTGGAAACAATTTCGTTACTATCACAGTCACCATCCTAAATATTTGTTCTCTCCACCGATCGTACATTCGTGGCTGCATTGTGCACTGTCCACACGGTGCACCATAACAACTTGCAATGGTTTTTTTGATAGCACTTTTTGATCTAAAGTACGTTTCAGTCTTTTTTTAAATGTGGAAATTATTTGTTAGTACACAGATACTTGAAAATTTTTATAAAAGGGGCCTACTTGTATACAATCTATGTGGGAAATTTCAGGTTGTTGCCAGTTGTGCAGCTTAGAGGGAACATTGTTCCAAACCCATGACCTCTATCATCTAGAAGAAGGGCACCAGGCACGAGGAAACATCACAGCAAAATTCCCTTCCAAGTCACATTTCTGACTTGTAAATTAATTACAATTCTTTCATTATCTGTAGGTCAAAATCCTGACATTCTCTACTTACCTGCACTATGAATGTACAGCAACATGAGTCCAGGAGAGTGGCTCATCTCCATCATCTCAAGACCAATTAGTGATTGACAAAATATACTAGCCTTGCCAGTGGGCAAAAATGTCCCATGAAGTAAATTTTAAAAGTTGGTTAATCCTACAGGGAGAAAAACCATCATGTTCTAATTGTCTGTTTCTTTGTCTTTTTTCTCTGAAGAGATGAAGCGTCTGGGTTTTGTTATCTGAATGATGCCGTGCTTGGCATTTTAAAACTGCGAAAGAAGTTTGATCGAGTTTTATACGTAGATCTGGATCTACACCATGGCGATGGTAAGATTGAATCTTTGATTTCATCTTAATTACAATACCTTGATGAAAGTTATAAAGGAATGACAGAATCTCCTGTAACATTACTGATGGCACATTCAAGGAAATGCTGTTTTATAAGGACAGGAGTGTTATTGTGCTTGCATCGTACTTGTTTGGTATGATGTAAACCTGTGTGCAATCCAGCATGTTCTGTAATGCTACAGAATTTATTTCCTGCTCCCTTCTGGAATTAGTTAGAAGTTCGTTTTACTTCTGATACTGCTGCAGTCCACACTCTGTAGGTTGACCCACTGTGCTCTAAAGAAGGAAATTTGAGGATTTTGACCCAGTGACAGTGAAGGAATGCCGATGTATTTCCAAGTCAGGATGGTAAGTGGCTTGGAGGCGAACTTGCAGGATGTGATGTTCCCATGTATTTGATGCTCTTGTCCTCCTAGATGGAAGTTGTCGTGGTGCTGTCTGGGTGAATTTCTGGTCAGAGACATCCGGCCCCTTGAACCACCTCACTATTCTGATGTGATTGTGGCCTTGACTCCAGTTTTCTATTTGCCCCAATAATCCTGGACCACTTTAGATCAAAAATCTATCAAATGCAGCTCTGAATATATTAAATGACCCAGCTTTGACTGCTCTCTGGAGAAGAGATTTCAAAAACTAATTGTCCTTGGAGGAGAGAAGTTCCTTCTCTTCTCGATCTTAAATGGAAGACATTTATGTTTTGTTACTGTTTGTTCCAGATGTCCCCTGGAGGGGAAACAATCCCTCAGCTCCTACCCTGTGAAACTTGCTCAGACCTCATATGTTTCTCTCCAGTTATCTCTCATTCTTCTCATCTCCAGTTGTGTTGTATCTTAAATATGCACAAACTTCCTATCTGCAAAGTTTGACTACCGTTCATCTTTTTTTTCGACATTTACTCTCGGAACAGATATACGTGTATGTCACTCTAATTGCATCATATGATCAGCTGGCATCTATTAATCTAGGAGATGATGTACTGTGCCCAGGGTGCATGTGACTTCTGGATTGAATATTGTCTGCACGGGCCAGATTTATGAATAGAAGTTTTTTCTGCAGCTTGCAGAGGGTGAATAGCTTTGTTCCAAGGTCAACTGATATTAGTTCCTTACAATAGGCTGTCTTCTCCACCATCTGGCCATTCCTTTTGACCACACACTTTCAAACCCTTCCAGGCTGCTTGACTCCAGACACTCCAGTCAGCAGCAAGGATTTCCTATGCATTGACACCGGTCCGAAAACTTGAGGTTGCAGATATCCTTGTATTGCAGACATGGGCAACTTGTTGTTCTTGAGCTAATGGTAAGCTCACTGTCGAGCATGCCGTGGAGATGGAATCGTCATTCATTTGGCTCTTGTAACTTAACCAGCAGAGTTGCTGCTGACTTGTGGGCAAGTATGCTGCAGATCCCTGCCCACTGCAGTTACCAGTTTGCTGGAAAGTAGTGATTATAAAGCATTTTTCCATCTTCGAATCTAAAATAGGGATTTAAATAAATTTAAATAATTGTGTATTTCATAATTTCATTACATTATCTTTGAATTATCTTTTAATTCTTTTAATGAAGTTTATATTTGACAGCATCAGCCTCTCAAAATGTTCAGACTTAATCTATCGGCTAATATCTTGATGAACCAATAGCTGTGAGCACTGAGATGTTTGTCGCTACTGAAGGCTGCGCTATCATTGCTGGAGAAACTCAGCAGATCTGGCAGCATCTGTGGAAAGAAACAGTTAACATTTCGAGTGCATTGATCCTTCTTCAGACTCGACTCAGAACGGACTCGAAATGTTAACTCTGTTTTCTCTCCACAGTTGCTGCCAGACGTGCTGAGTTTCTCCAGTAATTTGTGTTTTCGTTTCAGATTTCCAGCACTCGCAGTTCTTTGTTTTATGAATCAAGTAATAAGAGTTTGATGCAAGTGTGTTATAATCATACTTGGTGCAGTGACACGTCTATGAATCCTCCGTTAGGGCTAATGGATAGCTCGAGCTTTGGAGTTCTGGGCTGTTGTTTTCTGTGTCAATCAGGTGTCTGCACTAAGGCGATTGTCCACACGGTGCTCCTCGGGGAATCTGAGACCACCGGGTGTGTTAATGAGGAATGAACCGACACAGGTCGGAAACAAAACATGCCACACGTGTGCTGTGGTAGGATTGCACCTCATAGAGTCATACAGCACGGAAACAGACTCTTTGGCCCAACTTGTCCATGCCAACCAGGTAAACTGAACTAATCCCATTTGGCTCATATCCTTCTAACCTCCCCTATCCATGTACCTGTCTAAATGTCTTTTAAGTATTGTAATTGTACTCACCTCTACCAATTCCTCAGCTCCACCTGTGAGTAGATACAACTGTGCAGCCTGACTGATACAGTGAGATGCATTCTTTTAGGGTTCTGCCTCTACCTATGAGTCAGAAAGTGCAAATTCAAATCCCATCTGTTCTAGAGGTGTGTCATATATGTCTGAATGGGTTGATTGATAGTATCTATTATAATAATTATAGGGGACTTTAATCTTCAGATGAAGTGGATAAATTAATTTGGCATAAGTAGTTCAGAGGTCGAGGTAATTGACAGCATTTGAGAGAGTTTCTATAAGAACACAACATCACACCAACCAGGAGAAAGGTTATATTAGATTTTATCTTGTGTAATGAGAGAGGATTAATTTGCCATCTCACAGTAAAGGATTCTCTGGAGATATTTATTATTATACGAGTGAATTGCATGTGGAATTTGAGCGGGAGATAGTAAGTCTTAAAGTGCGTAAAACTTAAATAAAGTCAAATACGTAGGGTTCAGTGGAAATTTGGCTAAGATAGATTAGGAACTTAGATTAAAAGTTAAAACTTTAGATGAATTGAATTTTGAAGATGTTAAATCAGTGACTTTTCCCCAGATCTTTAACAGTGCTAGTGTACAACTAATTTCTAGCAGATATTGAGCATTGGCTTGAAGTCATTTATTTTGTCAGTTTCTCCTCTTGTCAGAGAGGGATCTGACCTCCCTCAGTGCATCTCCACAGCATTATGGCTGAGATAAGTGTGTTACTTTGTGAACAAAAGCTTAGAACAAAACTCAGTAGACTACTTGAGATAACAAGGTGTAGAGCTGGATGAACATAGCAGGCCAAGCAGCATCAGAGGAGCAGGAAAGCTGACGTTTCGGGTCGAGACCCTTCTTCAGAAATGCAAGGAGATGATGTACTGTGCCCAGGGTGCATGTGACTTCTGGATTGAATATTGTCTGCACAGGCCAGAAGATTTATGAATAGAAGTTTTTTCTGCAGCTTGCAGAGGGTGAATAGCTTTGGTCCAAGGTCAGCTGATATTAGTTCCTTACAATAGGCTGTCTTCTCCACCATCTGGTCATTCCTTTTGACCACACACTTTCAAACCCTTCCAGGCTGCTTGTCTCCGGACACTCCAGTCAGCAGCAAGGATTTCCTATGCATTGACACCGGTCCGAAAACTTATGAATACTTATGAAAACTTATGAAAATGCTCAACAGCTCCCAAAGAAGATGGACCTTTTGTGAAAATACTTAAGTATGAGCCCATGTCCCTTTTTTTGGGGGGAGGTGGGGTGGAGAAGAGCCAATTGCAGGTATAAATAAATATGGCATTTAGTGTCCTTATCTCTGAGCCAGAAAGTTCAGGTTCAAGTCTCACCTGCAGAGATGTGTCATAATGTGTTTGAACAGGCTGGTTAAAAATATTAGGCCAAATACGGTCCGAAAACTTTTGTTATGAATCTGGAATGGGTTTTTACTTTGGTTACAGATGTGGACAGAACAATAACCAGTATCCCACTCTGAAGAAGGGTTTCGACCTGAAACGTCAGCTTTCCTGCTCCTCTGATGCTGCTTGGCCTGCTGTGTTCATCCAGCTCTACACCTTGTTATCTCAGATTCTCCGGCAGTTCCTACTATCTCAGTGGACTACTTGTCATTAATGTAACTCATTAGAAGAACAGTATGCTGATGGTCATTTTTGAACAATTTGACAGTTTGTATCTGTAAAATTGAGGAACATTTTCTTACAGTCAATGGACCAATAAAGTATGTATATCACAATCTGTGATCATCTTTGTCATTTTTTAAATTCTCTCTAGGTGTAGAAGATGCATTCAGTTTTACATCTAAAGTCATGACTGTATCATTTCACAAGTATTCCCCTGGATTCTTCCCAGGTAGGTCTGCTGTCACTCCAGTTTTTCTTCTCGATAACAGCATTGTTTCAGAGTTTTTTTTAATGATTTCTTCTGGCTATTTCTCAAGGAACAGGTGATGTGACAGATGTTGGAATGGGGAAAGGAAGGTATTACACTGTGAATGTGCCTTTGCAGGATGGCATTCAAGATGACCTTTACTACCAAATATGTGAAAGGTAGGAACTACTATAAAATTCTGACTCTGAACAATATAGAATTACTTTCTTATAAAGTATTATGCTTGAATTGGGATGCCCAAAATTTCATCCATAATCGGGTGGCTTTATTGCCTGTAACTTACCATGTAATGAATTTCCAATATGTCCCATATCAATGCAGAAGATATCAAGCCTAGGTCAGTTGTCTTCCAGCAAAGGAAGAAGGGTCACAAGGCATTTTTCTGCAGCTGATAATATATTATCTATCTGTTTTAGGCAATGGCAATCTTGTCACCTCTCAGTGATCCTGTCGATTAATGTTGATTTCTGAGCAGTTTTGTGCTGTGTGTTTATGATGTCTTGGAACTGCATTGAAATTACCTGGCCTTATTTTATCTGCCATCCTTACTGTCAGCAAAGAAGACTTCAATTTTATGAATCTGGAATGGGTTTTTACTTTGGTTACAGATGTGGACAGAACAATAACCGGTATCCCACTCATTAGGTTTTTATGACTTCACTGCAGTCAGGACCATTTCAAAGATGAAGCAGTCAGATCACATGCTCAACCTTGTGAAGTGAATGGGTTTGTCATCACTTTTGTAGGAGACAATGTCCTAAGGGTATTATCGCTAGACTATTAATCCGGAAACTCGGCTAATGTTCTCGGGACCCGAGTTTGAATCCTAGCACAGCAGATGGTGGAATTTAAATTCATGTTTTAAAAATCTGGAATTAAGAATCTTCTGATGACCATGAAATAATTATCAAAAAAAAACCCATAGAGTTCACTAATGTTACGCAGTGGAGGAAATCTGCCATCCTCACCTGGTCTGGGCTACATGTGACTCCAGACCCACAGCAATGTGGTTGACTCTGAACTGCCCTCTGAAATAGGCTAGCAAGGCACTCAGTTGTATCAATTGTTACAAAATGTTAAAAAGGAAATGAAAACAGATGGATCAACTAGCATCAACCTAGGCAACGAAAAGACAGTGGCAGAAACAGTCCTGTTGACCCTGCAAACACCTTGCTAACACCTGGGGGATAACTGTCTCACAGACAAGTCAAGCAACAGTCTGACATTGTCTGTAAGGCATGATTCCCTGGCTGTGATTATGTCCCAGATACCACCACCATCATAGCTGGATATGTTCTGTTCTACCAGCAGGACAGACCCAGCAGAGATGGCGGCACAATGGTGTACAGTTGAGTTGGAGTTGCCCTGGGAGTTCTCAACATTAATTCTGGATGCCATGAAGGAAGTGTGTCAAGTGACCTGGAGGTGAGAGCTCAGGCAGACAGTCTAAAAACTGACTTTGGATCTGAGACATCTACAGTAAAGTATTTCCAGTTCTGGTTTATCCTCTATCTACCTAGTATTCCATTTATGGTTCGAGTGAACCATGAACATCATAACTGACAATGGGATCTGGCTCACAAACTGTGTGTAAGCGTCTTTTTTTCTGTCGAGAGGATAGACGTCCTCCAGGCTTCGAAATGGTACAGGAATGTGGAGGTACCATCAAGGGAAGCGGACGTGAGCAGACTCTGCCTGCGGTTGACACTGGGGAAGAGCATTGTGCTCCGGGGAGTAGGTTGAAGGCAGTGGTCCTGAGGGGACTCGAGCTGCAGATGATAGCTGAAGAGAGTACTCACCCAACAGGTACCAAAATCATCACGGAGAGCAGTTGCAAGGGGACCTGGGAGTGCGCGACACCAGAGAAGAATGGTGTGCTTACACAGTAAGCGGCCGATGTGGACAGCATTCACCAAAGGGCCTCGGGCTGCGAGCGGCTACTAGACTCAAGTGGTGGCAAAAACTCCCACTGGTGGGAAGACAAAATGGCGGGCCAGTTTGGCGCAATGGGACTGTTTGAAGAAGAGATAGAAAGTAGGGTTTTGTACACCCTGTGTTTTAATGTGTGGCAAACAAAGTGACTCAAAACATTAATGGTACTGATTTTCTTGAGTACCATTGGGAGCAAGACCTTCATATTTCAAGGAGTCTGGCGCAACCAAAAAAACCCACGGTGAAGACATGTTGAGAACTATGTGAAGTGTTAGGGAGTTACTTTGTACCAAAGCCACTGATGAACACAGAACGTTCCCATTTTTTAAATGGTTACAACAACTCCCAATTTCTGGCCGCCTTAAAGAGGTTAGAGGAACACTGCAAGTTCAGAGAGTTTCTCCAAGATGCCTTGAGTGACCATTCGGTTTGTGGCCCCTGACACAAAGCCATCCAATAGAAACTACTCACAAGGAGAGTTCTAGATTTCAAGGAAGCTTTTGAAATTTGAAAATTCAAGAAATGGTTGGAGAATACTGCAAAGACTGTGGGCTCTGGCAACATTCCAGCAATTGTACTGAAAACTTATATTCCCCTAGCCAAGCTCTTTATTATTATTGTTGAAGAACAATACTTCATTTCCCACTTGGGGACCCTGCAGCTCTCCAGACTCGATATCAAGTTCAATAATTTTAGGGTCTGAACTCTCCCATGTCCTAGCCCCCTACCTCACACACCAGGCCTTGTTATCACATAGCCTGCCATTACATACCACCTATTGTTAGTCACTAACAGTCCCCATTAACAACTATTCATTCTCCTAGCCAGATCGTTATCAACTCCTTCGTCTATCCAATTGCCTTTTTCTCTCTTTGGGCTCTAGCCCCAGATGTCATTTACTCCCTACCCTCTCTCCCTCCCTATCCTCTTCATATAAACTGATATTTTCTTAGCTACCATCTGTTCTGAGAAGGATCACCAGACCCAAAATGTTAACTCTGATTTTTTCTTCACAGATGCTGCCAGACCTGCTGAGCTTTTCCAGCAACTTCTGTTTTTGTTCCTGATTATTGTTTGTATAGTTAAGTAATATCTGTGGCAGCATCGGTGAAGAAAAAAAATCAATGTTAACATTTTGGGTCTGGTGACCCTTCCTCTGAGTTCAGATGCTGCCAGACATGCTAAGCTTTTCCAGCAACTTCTGTTTTTGTTTGTGAGAAAAAGTGTTTGTGAATACTAATGGGTTTTGTTTACATTGAGAGAATTTTACAACCGAACAAAATAGACAGTTGAGTAATAAGTTCCAGTCTAGAAGTTGAGGAATTGATTTTTTTTCCCCTTTTGGTAGGGAAAATACCCATAACTTAGGAAGAAAACTTTTTTTTTTTACTTTGTTTGTGCACTTCTGCAGAAGTGGCGGTTGAAGCTGGAGTCCTCGAGTTGTACAGCACGGCAACAGATCCTTCAGTTCAACTTGTCTGTACCAACTGAATATCCTAAGCTGATCTAGGTCCATTTGCTAGCATTTGGCCCATATCTTTCTAAACGTTTCCTTTTCATGTACCCATCCAGATACCTTTTAGATGTTGTAATTGTACCTGCCTCCACCACCTTCTCTGGCAGCTCGTTCTATGCATGCACCACCCTCTGTGTGAAAAAAAAATTGTCTCTCAGGTCCCTTTTAAATCTTTCCACTCTCTCCTTAAACTTATGCTCTCTAGTTTTAGACTCTACTACCCTGAGAAAAAGACCTTGACTGTTCACCCTATCCAGGTCCCTCATGATTGTATACCTCCATAAGGTCATCCCTTAGCCTCTGACGCTCCAGGGAAAACAGCCGTAGTTTATTCAGCCTCTCACTATAGCTCAAACCCTCCAATCCTTCGTAAATTTTTTCTGAACCCCATTTCATTCCTATATCATGTTTAAAGAAAAGCAGTTGCTCCTGAAAAAAGAAAATAATTTAGAATTGTTAGAAATAGGTTACCTTAGTTTACCTGAAGAAATTTAGTGAAAGTTCCAGACCAGAAGTGTTTTGTCAAAACTTTGAAGGATTTCTTTGAAGCTGAAAAATTTAAGCTCGCTTGTAAGAAAACGTCAGGAAGAGCCTATCAGATTTGCAAGACTGTGAGTTGAAGCCAAAGTTTTTAACCCCTGTGGAAAAGGTAGAGAAGGGAATTCTCTTTGATGTGAGTCCTGTAAAGAAGTTAATTTGGGATTAATTGGATTATATTTTTATTGTGTCTAAAAAGTTTTAAATATTTTATATGCAAATAGTTTCATCTGTTCTGTTTAACTTATTTTCTTTTACATAATTCCATAATTGGTAAATCCAAATCTGCAGCATTGCATGCTTATATTTCAGTGAGAGAGCATTTTGCCAACACTAAGGAAAAAACAAAATATGATTTATCAGTATGGGATCTGATTTGTCCAGTCATAACATCAGCAGGGATCATGAGAACTGAGGGCACTTGACTTCACCAGATTTAAGGGAGTTTGTGTATTTCTTTTTTAAATAATAGCTATTTGGTAGTTCTGGATACAAAGCAGCTGTATTGTGGAATTTGAAGATGGCTCTGAATGTTGCTCAGAGTTTTCTGAAAGTGAAAGTTATAACTGTGAATTATTTTAAATTTTTGATTAAAATCTAATGTAAGAGGAGTAGCAGATAATTTGAATGTAAAAGTAAAAATAGGATTCCTTAAAGATGAGATGCTTCAAGTGATTATCCAGCATTTAGAATTGGGAGAAAAGAAATCTGAAATTAGGATGCCGCAGCTGTAATTAGCTAAAATATGGTTAGAAATAAGATGACTTAAAAGAGAAGCAGAAAATGTGGGACGTAGAGATAAGAAAACTTGAATTAGAAAGGGAGGTCAAACAGGGAGATGGAATTAAAAAGATTTAAACTTCAAAGGGTTAGGGAGCTTAGAGAACATGAGTTGGCCAAAGAAAAGTTTAAGAGTAACGACAGAAGGATGGCATAGTGACTCTGATGAATATTATGATTCCAATGAAGGATTTGATTTATTTGAGAATCTACGCTAAGTGCCTATATTTAATGAGGATGGATTTGAAAGGTATTCTGTTTCATTTGAGGAGGTAGCTGAACAGATAAAGTGGCCAAGAGGGATTTGGAATTTAATGCTACGGTGTTTGACAGGTACCGCTACGACTGTGTATACCAGTTTGTCGGAAGGACAATCCAAAGAGTACAAACCTG